ATTAAAAAAGAAAAAGAATAATGTAGAGTCTGCAAAACACCACATAATATGGATGAACTTGGAGGACATTATGCTGAGTGAAACAAGTCAATCACAGAAGGACAAATACAGTACTAGTTCGTTGTTGTGGAGGGTCAAGGAAAGGTTTATATATGGAGGGAAACTTTCTTTGTTGGTTGCCAGGGGTGGGAGGGGAGGAGAGGGAACACTGCAGAAAAAAAAAAGCACTGACCCATGTCACTTTAGTTTTGTGTATTTCACTGTACACAGATTATATTTCAATAAAATGTACTAAAAAAAAATTAGATCACTGCATATTGGACTTGATGAATTGATGCAATCTTTTGAAAAAGCAATTTGGCAATACATCTTGAGAACTTTAAAAATTTCAAACCCTTTAACCCAATTCCCTTTCTAGGAATTTATCTTAAGGTAATACTAAGGAGGTCAGACAAAGACGGTCATTATCAAAGTAAGAAACTGCAGCACAGGAAAAGAGCACAGGCCTTCATCTCACTTAGGTTACAATCCTGACTCTGCTACCTGATAGCTGTGAATTTTATTTAACCTCTCAGAGCCTGAGTGTCCTCTGTAAAATGAAGAGGACAATAACTACTTTTTTTTTAAATTGTGATTTGGGTGAAAGTTTACAGAGCAAATTCATTTTCCATACAGCAGTTCATATACATTTTGTTTCATAACATTGATTGCAATCCCCACAATGTAATAGCTCTCTTCCCACTTCCTCCCTGTAGACAATAACTACCTTTCAAGGCTGTTGTGAGAATTACAGACAATGCATGGAAAGCATAGTTAGAAATAAATGGCAGTTATTATCATTTATAATAGGATAATAGATTCAAATAACCAGTAATTTAATGGTTAGATAAATTACATTATAATCTGATAATGAAATACTGTACATAGCCACTAAAAATAAGGCTTTCAAAAAACTTTAAAAATATTTCAGTGTATAATATTACTTACTCATCATCTGGAGTGAGCTGGACAGGTTCATTAGTAAACTGAGAATCAAAGTTGTCCAAACCAAATTCCCCAGAAATATTTGGTTTAAAGGGAGGTACCACCTGCTTTTGCTCCATCTAAAAAGACATATTGGATGACAGCTCAAGCCTGCATTCTTAGAAATATTCTGCCTTTATATTTTCTTTAACATTGTTACAGTCTTCATTAATATTACAACTTACTCCATTATATTAATACTCTAAATTTTTTTTTTTGTTTTAATTTAATAGCTCTTTAACACCTATGATCATCGCAGCACTATTTACAATACCAAAGAGATGGAAACAATCCAAAATGCCTGTCAACCGATGAATGGACAGTCACACTATGGTACATACACATAACATTAAATAATGAAAAATCAACAAATCACCTCATAACATGGATGAACTTGCAGGACATTATGTTGAGTGAAATAAGTCAACCACAGAAAGACAAATATTGTATGAGTCCATTATTGTGAAAAGTCAAGGAAAGGGTTACACAGGGAAGGAAATTTTCTTTGTTGGTAGCATAGTGCCTAAGGGACTTGACTAACCAGAAGGCTGGCAGTTCAAACCCACCAGCCACTCCTCGGAAGGAAGATGGGGCAATCTACTTCCGTAGTGATACTGCCTCGGAAACCCAAGGAGGGGTCACTATGAGTCGGGTCCGACTCAACGGGACATAACAACAACAACAACAGGGATGGGAAGAGAGGGAAAACAGATGGGTAATTAACAGAGAGGTTTGATATGGGTGAAGGTTTTTTTTAAAATAAGTTCTTTAAAAAGTATTTGAGAGACTGGTTTTAAAATAATAAAAATTGGCCCAAAATAATAACGTAATCTAATAAAGCAAGCAATCAAAATTTACTTACCATATCCCAATCAACATTCCGGAAGAATGGGTGTCCTTGAATATCAGCAAATCCTGTTTGAGGATGACAACCCAATCGTTCTTTTGGATCCTATGGTAGAAAGAAATGTCTCAAGAATTAGGTGAATGTTATACCTTTAAACAAATCATCTTTGTGACCTGTGTTTCTTGCTTACTCTATGATACCTTCATTCTTAAGGTCAGAATAGTCTACCTTTTATTTCTAGAAAGTGTAAGACTAGACCCAAGTGATTTATCTGAATATTCTGACAGGTAGTTTCCTCAGGCTCTCTTCTTCATATCATGTAACCAAAGCAGAAAATTATCACCACTCCCTGATAAAAAATAACAAGAGGAAAAAGAGCAGGAGAATTATTTGAGTGGCATTTAGCTATTTCTTTGGCATGGATTAAGGTGATAGTCAAAATATGCAAACCTCCAAACTTCAACACAACTTTGTTCTCAACTCAATTTTAAAGCCCTATGCCCAATTACAACAATAAACCATCATCTGTGTAAGATAATGATATAACCGTATCTGGATCATTAAACTGAGAAGATTATAATTTACAGAAAGTTCTGGCTTATTCATTACTGTAAATGAGAGCATGTTCCCATTTTTCTTTGTCATAAAAGGCACTTTGTTTTGCATGTTAACACCTCTAATCTTCATTTTTCACTGTGTTAATGATTAGTTTCAAGTTTAAATCTTTCCTCCTATAAGCTATTTATTTAAAACAAGGCTAACTTATTTTATTAGAATGCATCACTATCCTATCTATTTACCTTAGGAGATAAACATCTATCAACGTTCCTTCTATTCTGCCATATAAAGATTTATGATGACCAAAATCATTATCCTTGACAGATCCTAAAACTGTTCTAACCTTCCAACTACAACAAACAATTGAATAATGTGTAGACTCTTGAAGAGTCAAAGAGAACATTTCATTTCTTCTAAATTTTATCTGATTATATATAGAGTATGATATGAGAACCTGTAGGGAACACCACTGTCCCAAAGTGTTCAATAAACATATGGTAATTAATAGCAGCTATTGATAATGATCCAAAGGATTATGAAAAATAGAGCTAAAAGTACAATGAGGTGATCTGCAAAGATTTGGTTTTTCCCTAATTGAGTATACTGTACATATCATCTACATTAAAAACACTATATATAATATATAGTTGGGGACAAACCATATGGGCAAAGCAGAAAAGACAGCTCATCCCAGCATCTAATGCTGCCAATTACTCTTTGGTTAAGAGTCAAATTCCAGATCTAATTGAAAAAGTTAAATACTCTGCTGTTTTGGAACTTTACGTTGCCTGGACCTCTAGACTCACCAGCTCCATTTATATAAACATAGATATTCCACAAATTATAGACATGACTTATACCTTGTTGAGAAAACTCTTCAGGACGCTTGCAGCTTTTACCGAGAGAGAACGTGGTATACGAATTTGTTTTTCCAAAATAACTAGAAAGATAAAATTATGGCACTGTATTTAACTTTAAACATGGCTTCGATCTTTATTATGAAATATTTAAGGCATTCAGCAAAGATATTACATACACAACCAAAGTGCCTTGTGTACCTTTCCAATCCCATTCCTCCCCCACCTTCTTGGAGATAATCTCTAACTGAAATTGCTTTTTATCATTTCCATGCATATGTTTTATTCTTTGACTACCTTACTGTATATCTCAGTTTCCTCGTCTGTAAAAAGTGGGATTAAAAATAACACCCACTTCTTAGGGCTGCTTTGAAGTTTAAGTGAGTAAAATGCTAGAACAGTAATTGGCACGAATTACTGCACATAACGTATCCAATTTTATTGGGTATCGGCAAATTATTCTCCAATGGTACTGTGTCACTTTTCACTCCCATCAGCAGTCTTTGACATATGACAGTTCAGTTGCTCACATCCTCACCAGCACTTGGTATTACCATACCTTAAAAGTTTTTCCAAATGTATGGCTATGAAATGATAGCACATTAATGTTTTAATTTGCTTACCTCTAATTACAAGTGCAAGGAGCTCTGGCGGTATAACGGGTAAAACATTTGGCTGTAATCAGAAGGTTGATGGTTCAAACTCACCAGCTACTCCGTGGGAGGAAGATGAGGCAACCTACTTCTGTAAAGATTTAAAGCCTTGGAAACCCAGTAGGGGTTGCTGTTATGTCAGAACTGACTCGATGGCCGTGCGTTTTTCTGTTTTTGTCTTAATTACTAATGCAGAAGAAAGGCCTGGCAATCTACTTCTGGAAAATCAGCCATTAAAAACACTTTGGAGCAGAATCATCTATGCAGCAAATGGTCACTGGTTAATACCAGGAGACGGAATTGTCTTTTCACATATTCCCTCAACATTTGACTACATATTAAATTCAATGTATATTCATATCCTTTGATGGCTGTAATTATTAAATACAGAATTTTATGGTAAAGAATCATAGTACTTCTTTGAATTATATATTGGGGAGCTCCTTGTACTTGTCTGCTTAATTCTATTCTGTTTGATCCTCTGTATTTCCAGTAATGGAGTCTTCCCCCCCCCACATCTTTTGACCTCTTTTATCTTCTTGGTCGTCCCCCCCACACACACTATTCTTGGCCTTATGTTTTGGCCTCTGGGTCCACATGTTAAACTGTCTTCTCTAGCCACAGGATTTCCAACTCCAATCTCTGTTTGTGACATACAATCTAAAGTAGGCTTTTTGTTATTTTATTTTTAGCATAAGAAGGTAACTGAGCAAATGGGATGAAAACTACAGAAGTAGAAAAGATATAACACACAAAAAAAACTCCTCAAAATCTCACACATTAAGCCAAGAGTACATTGCCTGATTATTCTCCTTTTGCCAACTCAAAGTACTAATTTGCACCATCCACATTTGTGCTCTAGAATCGATTCTTCACTGAAAACCCTTATAAAATACTGCAAATTACCTTGGAAGAGATAATCCTCTGTGTTCTGATCAGGATTATCAGAGCTCCCAACAATATCAAACGGAGACCTTCCTGCCATCATCTCAAACATTAGCACTCCAAGAGCCCACCAGTCGACACTAAAACCTTCAGAAAAGAAACGTTAAAGCAAGAAAATTATCTACTTTGCATTCTTGAAAGTCAGTAATTAGAGACTCAATCTAGTGCATAATGAAAACACAAACATAACGAACAAGCAAAATCCGAAAGTATTATAACTATCATGGGAGGTATGCAGCAGTAAAAGAGTACTTCCTCACTTAAGAAGAGTGGGTGCCTAAAATACAAATTTAAACATAAAATTATGAGTAATAAAACATATGCCTGTAATTTCAGACTGATGCCCATAGCTAATATTTTGTTTTGAGGATATAATTAAGTTGTATTTGAGAACAACCTCCCTTGGACCCTGGAATCAGATTTTGAGCAGCTGTAAGAAGTACTACATCTTCCTCTTCATCTGCTGAAATTCAAGGCCCAGAACTCAAGGAGTCAAATATGTTTTCTTAAGGTAAATGTATCCTCTGCTTCTTAAAAGGCAGTCTTTCTACCATCCTTCAGATTTCTGGGGAAACGTCCCAGGAAATCTGAACAATCGTCCAGAGGTTCATGACTCTGGTGTCATATTACTGAGGTCTGAAACTCTGCTCTGCTACCTTTTAGCTGTATGATCTCGGACAAGTTACTTAAATTTCTGTATCCCAGTTTCCTTATCTGTAAGACAGGGATAAATCATGCTTACCCCATAGGGTTATTAATATATGTAAACTGCTTAGAATAAGTGCCTGGCACTTTTTATCATTTGCCACTAATAAAATATTATTCAAATTTGTACCCAAATAGTGTCATGACCCACTATCTCTAATTTCAGAGTTTGGGAAAGGAGCTCTGGTGGTATAATAAGGCATTTGGCTGTTAATCAAAAGGTTGATGGTTCAAACTCACCAGCTGTTCTGTGGGAGGAAGATGAGGCAACCTACTTAAACTTCATTTAAGTTGTAATGGGATCAATAAAGTTTATACTGACATGATCAATATTAAAACACTATAGTGTACTATAATGCAATTGGTAGCACATTTAACTAAAATACCACCTATTTATTTATTACCGTAATCTTCTCCTCTTAAAATTTCAGGAGCAATGTAATTAGGAGTACCACAGAAAGTGCTAGTTGTATCTCCTGGCCGTAATCCTTCCTTTTATTGAAAGAAAAAGAAAACAAAGAAAAATAAGATTCAAAATTCTGCTTTAAATTCTTTTGGTTTAGTTATCATATAAGCTCAGATTTATAGGTAATATATCAAGCTTAAATACTGTATCACTAGTCCAATTGCCTTTATAATTAAAATCACAGATCACCATTAAATAAATAATCTTTAATAGATGCTCATAAAGGTCAGTTTAATTAAAAATTACATTTAAAATAATTTCTATTCTTCAAATTAAACTTTAATATAAAATTTTAAATTATATGAGAAAAGGAATCATATTTCATAAAGAAAAGAATCACTTTAAATCCCACCTCCTAACGTAACACTTTCTGGCATTATGGTGTGTTTCTTGTGGTCTTTCTCCCTAATGCACAGGTATTTTGGTTTTGTATTTTAGTTATAGGACAAAAAAATTAAGGCAAAACGCACTAATAAGTATAAGTAAACTACATGACAAATGGAACAATCACCAAGAAAGTGTAACAAATATAAACCTGTATGCACCTAACATACACAGCATCAAAATATAAAAAGTGGATCAAATGATTAGAAAAGCTTCACAATCCCGTCAGATAAGAGATTTTAACACATCTACAACAGAAAATGATAGATCAAACAGGCCAAATATTAGTAAGCAGAGAAAGATTTGGCCAAAAGCTAGACTAGTATATATATCATACAGAATATGTATATCTGTATGTACGCAAGCAAAGAGACAGAAACAGACAGACTCTTTGCTTCCAAAAATAGAGATTATATATCCTTTCTAAGTACATACTTAGAAAGTTAGAAAAACTGACCAAATAAGGTCATAAGGAAAATCTCAATGTACTTTTTAAAGCAGTTATCATTCATATCATTCTCTGGTCACAACTCAATTAAATAAAATATCAACAATAAAAGGGAATATACCCATGATCATATATAAGTTTGGCAGATGATATTTCTACATATTTGTATGCACTATAAGAATGTCCATATAATATGAGTTAATGGGGCAAAGTTAAGGTAACTTCTTAGCCACAGCCAAAACCCTAAGGGAGTGAGTCACTGGGCCCACAGTCTCTGGACCATGGTCACAGAGGACATCGAGCTCAACTGGCATAGCATGCTACATAAAAACACTGATCTATATCCTACTTTGGTGAGCAGCAACAGGGGTCTTAAAAGCTTGCAAGCGGCCGCCTAACATGCAATAATTGGTCTCTTCTTGTCCAAAGCAAAGAAGAATGATAAAAACCAAAGACACATTGAAACAATTAGTCCAAAGGACTAGTGGATCATGTGAACCTTAGCCTCTATGACCAGGACATCAGAAAAACTAGATAGTGCCTAGCTACCACTGTAAACCACTCGGAAAAGGATCAAAATAGGAGATCCTGGATAGAGTGGGAGAAAAATGTGAAATAAAACTAAAAATCACAAAAAAGACAAGGTGTACTGGTATGATAGAGACTGGAGAAACCTCCGAGACTATGGCTCCTAGTCACCCTTTGGGCCTGGAATTGAACTTGCTCCTAGTCACCCTTTGGGCCTGGAATTGAACTTACTCCCGCAGCTTCCAGCCAAACAATATATAGGCATATAATGAGAACATTTACACCAGGTAGGTACATCCCTCAGAATAATCAACATGGGCAATCGGAAGGGCAGTATTTGCATAGGGAGAGAGCTCAAAGGGCAGGAAAAGCATAGGAAAGAAGGACACACAGAAAAGGTAACCATAAAGAGGAAGTAGAAAGAGAGTTGTTTGGTGTATTATGGGGATTATAGTCAATGTCACAAAACAAAGTGTATGAACTGTTGTATGGAAAATGAATTTGCTCTGTAAATTTTCACCCAAATCACACACACA